CCCTTCATCCGTTCAGAGTATCAGTTAGCTGATGTTCTTACGAAAGCTGTTTCTACAAGTATCTTTCTCAACTCGCTTGACAAGTTGGGCATGCGTGACGTCTTTGCTCCAACTTGAGGGGGAGCTTTGGCGAGTAGAATATATCCTACTCTATTTGGGCTTTATTTATTTTTCCTTTTGTATAGATATTATGTAATTAGGATTCCACTTATTTCCTAATTAAACCCTACTAGGGTTTGTAACCTGTATTATAAATACCTCCTTTTGGAGAATAAAATATATCTGAAAATATTCTACCCATATTGTTTGACTATATGCGTGTGAAAAACCATCATCCCCTTAGTGAGAAATTATACAATGGTACGAAAGTACCACATGGCACCTGCCAGTGTTGATATGCACTAATCATATGAAGACACATGGCACTGTAACTATTAAAGGGAAACTAGCGTTTTCTTCTAAACAAAATGCTAACACTATCACTAGCACCGTCTCTCACTTTTTACCTCGATCACTAAATCAAATATAAAGTTTTATTAGATAAATTTCAACAATACAACTAAAACACAAGATAAAAAAGCAACAACCTACAAATTTGGTGTCCCTAGCATTATTGATAACTATAACACCGAGATCACTAAAACTAAAATTAAAGCATGATCTCAAGCTACGAATAAAACCCAAAACATCCAAAACTATAAACTAACCGATAAAGCCTAAATAAGCACCACAACCACCAAGTAAATCTGCGCCGTTGTCAAACCCACCACATCTACCCTTGAAGAAAATGTGGAATATGAGGCGAATATGAGAAACTTTTGTTCTCCAATTATCCAATTGATCATACTAGCAGACAAAAGTTCTAAACGGACAATGACGGGCAAAAACAACTAGACATATTGTAGGAAACTCCTTCAAATGTAGGATATAACTAGATTTAGAGAAAATGAAAAATTACTTGAACTCAAAATTAGCAAAGGCTGCAAAAGTGTGTGTCTACATGAGTATCTACTATAAAAAAAGAGTGGCAACAATCACTATTATTTGGTGACATTTGATAACTAATGCGGGAGTGACTAAAGACTTTAGTCACCAAAAATACCTTCTTGATTACTTGGTGTACTCGATGTTTCTCACTATGTTGCTTTATTTTACCAAATAAATCATCTGCAGACAAAAAAAATAAATCTATATATACAACAAGGCTTAAATGATAATTATTTAGTAAGTTAATACAACGCTAACAAGTCAGTTGGCCCCACAAAATTATGTATATGTTTGTACACTTTGATTTGGCTATAGGGAACAATAATATAATATATTTTTAAATATGTAGATTTTAGTATGAAGGTGTGAGATCATTTATCATATCTCATCTTGCATTATTTTAGTCTAATTGGTCTTTTGTCATATAATGGAACACACTGATTACAGACACAACGTTGTTAAAAGAAGAACAAAAGCTAATAAGTTAGTAAAAGTCTCCAAAAAGTTGCAGAGTTTCAGTCAAGGCATGGAGAAAATTCTTATTTATTTTTAAACTTTCTTTCCAGTTAGATTTAAACTTTAGTTTAACATAAGTTAGTTTAAACTTATTTAACTCAATAGTTTGTCACAGGTATAAAACAAAAAAATCAAAATTTGGTCGATGAAGGTGTGTTGTTTGAGTACATTTGTTCTCTTTTTAATCAGTTTACCAACATTGTGTGCCAGTATTAGCCCCATACTTGTAATCGCATGCACATGTACTGGCAAAGTTTACTTTATCTTGTTTCGAGTTAGCTATTTGGATGGAAGATGGTCCTATTTGGCTGTCTTCTATTTTAAACGATAATGTAATATTTTCTTAATTAATACAATTTAAAAGCTTCCTATAAAATAAAAAATTGTCAAGAATCAAGTTTTTTTTTTTTTGTCGACGTCAAGATTCAAGTCTAGACATTATGTATTTGTTCCAAAAACAAAGTTTAACTATGTAAATTCTACCAAAACTTCTGCGTTTTCAATGGGCTCAGGATTGCTAGGCCAAAAAAAAAGGTTGATCGCTGTGGTAACAAAAAGTATTCCTACCATGTAGCGGATAGGGTGCCCCTTCTATAGTGGGGGCACAGGGGGGGTATTTTGGTCTTCATAATTTGAAGAAGGCTTATTTACTGTAGCACCCCCTAAAACTTCGGTCAAATCTCACTTAACCCCCCCAAAGTTAAAATAGTCCACTTAACCCCCTTGACCGTGGTTCCCCCCCAACCGTTAACGTCATCCAAAAGACCGTTAAAAAGCTGACGTGGCAGGGGCATTATCGTAAAAGCACCCATGGTGGCCAATTGCTGACCGTAGTCAGCATCCTACGTGGCATAGTGGACCCTATAGGCGTTGAAAAACCTAATCTAAGTGCCTGAAGGGGTGAAGCGGACCCCAGATAACACCTCTCTCTTCTTCTTCGATAATAGGGTTTCTAAACCCAGAAAAATTACTTAACACTAGTTGAAGGATTTAAGGTTCCCAAGAGAAAAATCTCTCCATCTTTCTTCAATTAAAGGGTGTGAAGATGAGGAAAGAACCTCCACGAGGAGAGGAGCTGGGCGTTGCTGCACCTCAATGCTATTGTGGGAGGCTTGCTCGGCTGCAGACTTCTTGGACAGAGTCCAACCCACTTTAGAGATTCTTTGTGTGTCCAAAGTCAGAGGTAGGTTTTGGATTTGCTATTTTATCGAAAATTGTGAGAATGTGATGGAATTGTTGTTTGAATGAAGAGAGGGGAAAGAGAGAAGTTGAAGATTATATTGGGCGTGCGAGAGCTAGAGAGAAGAAGTTGTGGATTGCTTTCCAAAGTCAGAGGTAGGTTTTGGATTTGCTATTTTATCGAAAATTGTGAGAATGTGATGGAATTGTTGTTTGAATGAAGAGGGGGAAAAACGGTAGTAGGTTTTTTGTATGGGTTTATATTGAAATGCCTTCTCGTGAGAGAGCTCTGATGGCTTGGATGCTGAGGACAAAGAGAGAAGTTGAAGATTATATTGGGCATGCGAGAGCTAGAGAGAAGAAGTTGTGGATTGCTCTGTTTATTTCTTGGGCCTTTGTGTTTATGGTTTGGTTTGGCAATGTTGTGTAATGTAAGTTAGGCAATTGTATGTTTGAAAGTTAGGCAATTGGTATGTTTGAAAGTTAGGTAATGTTGTGTAATGTACCTAGTTGAATGACAATTTAGGGAGATGAGAGTCTTATGTAATGGCTATAGCATTTTGCAAATGTAATGGTTTCAAAGCCCTTTTGTAATGGTGAAGACTAAACACTTTTGTAAGCACCACTAATTCTTGAAACCTTTAAGAGCTTTTCAACTGCCATTGATTAATAACTTGTACATAAATTGTCCATAGTCTTGTACATAAATTGTACATGGTCTTGCACATAACTCAAAAGACCTCAATTGTACATAGACTGAATATGCACTTGTTTAATCCATGGCAATGCCAAATAGTTTGTACCCAAAAACAAAGTAGACAATAAAATACCAAAGAGACAGTTTCTACCCAAAAACATATGTGTTCACCAAGACACAACAAAACATTAAAACAGAGGACATATACAAAACATCAAAACATAGGACAGATTTTCAATATCTCCATGGCTTAAACTTTGCCAAGAAGGCTTTCCTCTTAGCTGGAGACTTAAACCTAACTTTCCTTGTGGTGAAGCTTGTAAAGGCCAAGACGAATTTGGTTCTTGAGACTGGGAGGCTTGTTCAAACAGAGCAGCTTGAGATGCTTGTTCAAACTGAGAAGCTTGAGATGCTTGTTCAAACTGAGAAGCTTGAGAGGCTTGTTCAAACTGAGAAGCTTGAGAGGCTTGTTCAAACTGAGAAGCTTTATAGGCTTGTTCAAACTGAGATGCCTGAGATGGTTGTTCAAACTAAGATGCTTGAGATGGTTGAGCTGGTTGGTGAGATGGTTGAGGAGCTTGGTTAGACTGAGAAGATGCTTGATGATGATTGGTCCTTTTTTTAGTCTTTGATATGATCTGAAAATTTTGGCAGAGTTAGATTAACATGCATGCTTTTGGATTAATATCTATAAATGTTACTTAAATAAAAGAAACCCAACTTACTGGTTGTTTTTGCCTTGATTGTGTAGAAGATGATGCTTGTTTCTGTCTTGATTGTCTTGTAATTCTCTGAGTTGATGTGTTGTCTTCTTTTGCCTTGTGATGGTACCTGGCCAAAAAACATCACTGGGAAATCCATATCAGAATGCCAAACTTACAGAACTTTTAAAATCACATGCCTTGAATATATCTGGCTGCTACTCCCCGCTTCATTTACCCTTGGACATTTCCCCTTATTATGGCATGGTTGCTTACTTCCCCGCTTCATTTCCCCTTATTATGGCCTGGTTGCTTACATATGGAACACTTGATTTCCAAATTATACATTGGCAAGTGTTTAGCTTTAGGATTAGAGCTTGGAGATGGTTCACCAGCTGATCTTATCCTGGTTTTCTTTGGCCTCCCTGGCTGCTTATGAAACTTAGGTGGCAGCAAAGATGGGAAATTTGTTTTAGCCCACAAGTCTTGGCTTGGCATTGGATGAACCATGGGTTTGTAAGCTTTAATGAAGGCCTCTTTTTTGTAATAATCATGGACATAGCTGATGTGATTGCCATTTAACTGCCCAATGGCAACACAAGCATGCTTACATGGGATCCCAGTTAGATCCCATTGCCTACATGAACAACTTCTGTTTCTCCACACTTGAGTGCCTCCAAAACACTTAACCTCATATTTGCTCTCCCTAGCAAGCCTTGGAATGCACCAGGCTGACTACTTCTTAAGCTTTTCAAGAGTTGCAAAAACTCTTGGCCCCACATCATGAGCCCATTTCTCCATAGCTTCTCTTTTAGTTGCCATCAACAACATGATGTAATACCTGATCCTCTCAAGCAATGTTATAATAGACTTGTCTCTAGCATCAAGGATAGACTTGTTGAATGCCTCACACATGTTATTCAAGAGAATGTCACACTTTGAGTGTGTTTGAAGTGAGATCTACACCACTGCATTGGATCAAGCGTTGACAACCAATCAAAAGCTGGTCTTGACAAATCTTGGAGCTTTTTCATCTTTGCTTGAAACCAAGGTATAGTTGTAATTCTTGCAACAGCCTCCATATGTTGTTTCAGAACTAATCCTCTATGGCCAGCAAGTATAAAATTGGCATGCAGATGTTTAAGGCAATGTCTATGCTCAGAGTTTGGGAACATGTCACCCACTGCATCAATTAATCCCTTTTGTCTATCAGTAATGAACACATACCCATTGCTATTTTCAATGCCAAGATCAACAGCTAAGAGTTCCAAAAACCAAGTCCAAGTTGCATAATTCTCAGCCTCTGCCACTGCATAAGCTATTGGATACATGCCATTGTTAGGATCAACACCAACAACAGATAGTAATTGCCTAGGGTGTTGCCCTTTGATGTGACAAGCATCCAAACCAACAACTGGCCTCAAAGCATCAATAAATCCTTTCTTTGTAGCTGCCAAGCATATATAAATCCTTTCAAATCAAGATTTGTCACCCTCCAAATTGGACTTAATCTTTACAGTAGTTCTCACATTTGTCATTTTCAGCACCTCAACATAATCCCAAAGAGTCTCAAACTGTTTTCTGTAAGTCCCCTCACTTACAACAGTTGCCTTTTGCCTTGCTCTGTATATCTGTGATCTTGAAGCTATGACACATAGATCTTCATTCACCCTTTCCTTAAAAGCTACTACATCCCAATTTATTATTCTAGAAAGCTGTGTAGCATATCTCTCTGCTAACCATGATGAGTTAGCATGGACATTGCGTTCAACAATCCCACAAGTGTGCTCTTCTTCATAACTCTTAATTTGAACCATGCTACTTCCATTTACAACTGAAGCATAAACAAACCATGAACATTCTCCACTCTTGATCCCATCACAAACTGCTCTAACCTTATCTTTATCATTCTTGGAGAACTTAATCTTCCTTCTGTTGAATACTGAATAATTTCTCACTGCTTTCCTAAATACATAGACAATGGGAAATCTTAGACCAAGCTTAAAGATTGGGTTATTCAAATCTGTTTCAAGCCTAAAATCTTCAAACTTCGGCAGTTTCCTCTTCCTTTTTCTCATAGGCAAATCAACCTCATCACATGAGCTACTATCCAAGCTATTAACATCACTTACAACCATATCATCTGATTTCTCTCCTTCATCTGCATTGTGGATCAATAACTTCATCTGCATTGTGGATCAATATCTGGAGCATTGTGGTCAACATAGTTGTCAAATGCTCTATCATCCTTCTCCAGCAAGCACTGTTCATCTTCACTTTGCTCATAAGCACTGTCATAAAATTCAAGGTCTTCACTATCTTCACTGTCTTCATTGTCTTCATTGTCTTCACTGTCTTCACTATCATTTTCAGCCCTTTTGTCATTCTCTCCCTCTTCATATACAGTCTCATCCTCCACATTTATACCATCCGGAATAGTACCTTCATCACCCTCCTCATCCATATTTATACCCTCAGGAACAGTGCCTTCATCACCCTCTTCAACCACATAACTGCCCAATGGAACAGCACCTTCATGCCTATCCTCACCCACATTTGTACCCTTAGGAATAGTACCTTCATCACCCTCTTCCTCCACATGTATAGCCTCAGGAACAATACTGTTTGCGCCTAATAAATCTTGGCCAATGAAGCTGACCGAAGGAACTTCCTCTCGGCCCCAATGCCTACCCACGGTCGAGCATTGCAAGTCGTTGTTCGCTTTCTTTCGTTAAAGGCAAAGGCGGGCTGTGAAGGCAAAGCCGTCACGGCCTTGGTGATCTCGACCGAGGCCGAAGGGAGTGATAATTCCTCTGATACACGGCCAAGATAGGAAAGTCAAGTGGCGTTGCCATGTGGCGTCAAGGTCCCACGCTTCATTTAATGAAGTAACGCCTCTGACTCTGGCAGAAGAACCATGTCACGTAAAGAGCATTTAATGTACAAGAAAGGAGAGGAAGTGATTGAAGTCAGGATATGGCGAGTAAAATCAGGGATTAGGTGCGAAAATCTCACAACTTGTAAGATTAAGTCACCAACCATCAGACCAAGGCATTAAATGCTCCTCCAAGGCCCGAGATGCAAAGCCCACCGTCAGGGCAGCGGCCGGGATTTATGGGGGTCACACCACCATGCTTCACATTCCCAAATGTCGACTCGACTACTCACTAGCTCTGATCAACCTCACCATGCAAATTTTCAGCCTGAATGTCTTCTCAGGACCCCCCCTATAAATACCGGGCTCCAACTACATTTAAAGGGTTCAAACACCACCACAAGCCTCCCACGGAGCATATTATATTTTCTTGTCATTTACCTTCTGTCATTTATCTTCTTGTAATGCATTTTCAATACCTTTACTTGCTTTCTTAGGAGTAGTGACAGTTTGTAGGAAAATCCATTCATCAATATATCATACGACCCTTGATTTTCAAGGCACTGAAACATCATCCTTGTTGTTTTTCCTTTCATCTCATATATCATACGACCGTTGCCACCCAGCAACGCGCCGGAGCACCACCTAGAAACCCACCATCGACGCCACAATCAACGACCTTGTAGCCCAGGCCGTGAACCCAACGGCCGAGATCAGTTTCTCTCTCGGCCACAGTCACTCTGATTAGAAGTCAGACTCAAAACAGGCGCACAACTCATCTATTCACCCAATCACATCACCCTCAGACGCACGGTAAACCGTGCTGGCACGCCCGCGCACAAGCACACCGCACCAAAGAAGGACGACCTGTGTTGACGCAAATCCCCTCGGCCTGGAGCAACAGGCCGTGAGATTTGCGAAGCCAACAAGTACCTTCATCACCCTCATTCTCCTCATCAACAGCAATGTCATCCTCCTCATCCTCCTCATACACACCCTCATAACCAGACTGTTCAAATTCAGCAGTTAGGTTTCTTGCAATAGGACCCCTCTCCCTCCAAGCCACTGCATATTCATCCACATTAATAACAGTGGGGTGTTCAGAGTAAATGAAAATTACTCTTTGAAAACTAGGAGGCACCAAATTACACCAATCAAGTAGCTGAGCATCACTATATATACACACTTTTTTACCATTTTGTATCCCTGTCACAACCACTTGGTCATGGTGCCCAAGCTCTTTTGCATATGCATATATCTCTAACAAATTTATGTAGTCCAAAAGACACCAGTCCAAAAAATCAACAGACCTCCCCACATAAAACCACCACTCATTGAGGTTTGGGGATTTTACCATTCTACCTCCATGGTGTACTTCAAAGGTGACTACTCCTTTGTCATCTGCACAGCTGCACAGCAGAACATAAAAAAAACACTTTAACCACTGCCCAGTCATATGTATAGTTTAAAAAGGACAACACAACCACCAAACTACCAGTAAACAGACATGGATCAAGATTCAAACGCAACTAACATATTTAAAGCACTAAAACAACCTTTAAACAACTAGTAAACAAGAAAACATAACAGCAACACATAGGGGAGCACAATAATTTTTTATTCCAGGCTAATCAAACTCAACACCTTCAGACCTGACCCAACAAAGCAAGCAAACAATAAAGAAGCTTAAACATGGACCACACTTTATAAATCTATTGCTTTCGTCGATTCCATTTCAAAAGCAAAGGGCCACTTACCGTACTCAGGTTGAGAACCTCCTTTCTCTCTCGGCACCGTCATTGTCCTTTTCAATCTGTCCAATTTTCAGGCAATGCCAAGATTTCGATTCTTCTTATTTCACTTCTGCAATATTCGCTTCTTCTCAGTTGTTCGAATCTCTCTCTCTCTCTCTTCGATTATACAATCCAAACCCTAATCCCCAAATTCAATCGACTGAAAAGGGGGTTCTACTGTATGAACTCAGATGCTTAGATTAGGTTTTTCAACACCTGTGGGGTCCACTATGCCACATAGGATGCTGACTACGGTTAGCAATTGACCACCGTGGGTGCTTTTACGATAATGCCTCTGCCACATCAACTTTTTTGACGGTCTTTTGGATGGCGTTAACGATGGGGAGAAGTGGAACACAAAACCACGGTCAAGGGGGTTAAGTGGGCCATTTTAACTTTGGGGGGGTTAAGTGAGATTTGACCAAAGTTTCAGGGGGTGCTACAGTAAATAAGCTTTTGAAGAATTGCACCCATCCATAGGGGACAGGGCGAGGCTTTATCTCTGGGTCCGGATCCATTGTCCATTGTCCACTGTCCACTCCTGTCCATAATGGGCTTAGGGTCTTTCATCTACTTCCTTTGTAGGATAAATCATTTTATTTGTTAATTGCTACCTACCCATGATGGGTAGGCAACAACAGAAACATGCGAAGTCTTTATAAATCTTCTTACTATCAGGGGCAGATCCACAGAGGAGCAAGGGTGGTCAATTGACCCCTGCAACCTCTGAAATCCTCCATTAGAGTAGCCAATCTTGACCCTCGCAAGGTGTTTGATAAAATGCCCCAAAGGGGCAACTTGTGTGCAGCTTCAGAAGAAGTTTTTTTTTTTGGGTCGCTCAACATCAAAACGACGTCGTTTCTTCACAGGTTTTTTGAAAGAAAAAAAAAAACGGCGTCGTTTCTTCACAGGTTTTTTGAAAAAAAAAAAGGCAGCTTGCTGCTGCTTTCTCCCCCGAGATAATTCCCCCCTTTCATACAAATGTAATTCATTAGTTTCATTGAAGGGAAATAACCAAATTTACTTATAAAATAATATTAAAAAAACCTCATCTCCCTCCTCTCTCTCTCATTAGAGTTTTCAAAACAGATTAGTTCATTGAAATTGATTGAGCACTCAACTGGCCGTATCCTATCCATCATTGAAAGAAGTTAGATCGTGAAATATCAAATATAGATTTCAAGGGTTGAAATTTTTTGGAAGTTTTCAGTTGGGTTATTATCAGAGCTTTCAGTTGGGTTGAGATTTCTGTTCAGTTTTTTTTTTTTTCCTCTTCCTTATTCACTTTCTGTTCTATTCTTCTTTTTCTTTTTTTTCTTTTTTTCTTTTTTTTGGTCTTCTCTTTCAGTTGGGTTGAGAAACGCAGCGCAAGTGGGAGGAAAATGATGGTGCTGAAAAAGCGAGGACGCGGGAGTGTGCAGCGCTAACTGAGGAGGTGGCTTCCCTGAAAGCTCAGGTGGCAGACTTGCAGAAGTGGCTCTCCTGTTCCAACCAGCATGTAGAAACACTACAAAAGAGAAATATGGACCATTGAAATTGAGAATGTATCTTTGTTTTTTGACTAAGTTGTAACTTGGATTTATTTGTGCTTATTTTAATTAAGCTGTGTACTTATTTGTTTTCGTGAGATTGATATGAAAATAAACTTTGTAAGATGATGAAGCTTTCAATTTTAACTTTTTTATGATTATATTATTTGTTGTTTATTGGGTTTTTTAAAATGAATTGAGGTGATTTTGAGTATTTGAGTTTAATTTTATATTTATATTAAATGTGTTTAATGATAAATTAATGTGAGATAGAAGAAAAAAAAAAGATTTGTCTAAAAAAATTTGTGAGATTTTATACGTTGACCCCCGAAGAGGAAATTCCTGGATCCGTCACTGCTTACTGTTGGACAAGCTGCCGATGTGGGATTTTAGAACTGCGTTAATTTGGAAGAGCTACTCGCTTAGCTTGTACATTTGTGACTAAATAAAGAATGGAGTTTCTTCTTTTTTTTGGTCAAAAATAAAGAATGGAGTTTCAACCGACCCGACCTTGTCTTTTATTCTACAGCTGCTGGCTGCACCAACTAGAGGCCCAATATTAATCTCTTAGCCCAAACCACATAAGCCAGATTTCCTGACAAAATTGTGTTTTTCTTCTTCTTCTTCTTTTTCAATCTTTGGCGTTAGTCCTTCTGTTTTAAACACCTGCTATTTAAAACAGAAGTCAACAGAATATGATATCAACTAAAATTAAGCATCCCCCCAATAACAAAAAGTAGTTTAAAATTACATAAATGAAGAAAGATAAGAGAGTTTACTGGCTTTCACATATATCCAACAAGAATGAGACGCTAGCAAAGCTATACTCAAGATCAAACACACTTGGAAAACAAACATATCCAAGAACTAATTAACTTAAATAAGGAACACAATAATTGATTACACAGAAAACCCCAAATTGGGTAAAAATTGAGGAACCAAGCTTAAGCCTAGCCCAGAGGGTGTGCGGGTTGGGCAACGGCACAGGG